AGATTAGAAACTTTTTAAATTTAAATGAAAAAAATGCTTTTACAAACTACCAATACATAATACATACATTGAAATTACTGTGATAATTTCTATCGTGAATTGCTGTAAAAAATTCTGTTCCAGAACTTACTCGCCATTCCAGTGGCAACCATATGTGGTTGGGTTAGCCTTCATTGGAATTATTGTAATTTCTATTGTGAGTTACAGTACCGTAAAAAATTCTATTATAACAACGTTGTGTTTGCATTAGAATTATCGTAATTTCTATTGTGAGTTATCTTAAAAATTTCTGTCACGGAACTTACTATTCTAGTGACTACGGTAGGTCGTTAAAGTTATGCTAATTTTAGAATTATTAGAACTATTATAAAATTTTATTATAGGATTTACTTGTTATTCCAGTGACCATAATGTGCGGTTTAGTTTGCATTAGAGTTAACGAGATTTCTAATGTGAGTTACTTTTGTATGGTTGTGCTAGTTTGCATTGGAAGCATTGGAATCATCGTAATTTCTATAATGAGTTCCTAGTGACCACAGTATGCAGTTAAAGTTGAACTGAAATTATCGTGATTTCTAATGCAAATTACTGTAGAAAAATTCAGTTACAGAAATTACCCACTACGTTTCCGGCGGCTACAGTGATTAAGGTTTAGTTGGTATTTATTGGGATATGTATGTGATTGTTACGATTTCTCAGCAATCATCTAGTCAAATTTGACGAATGTTTTTTTTTTTTTTTTTTTGAATTTTATGAATCTATAGGATTCAAATAAAAAAAAAATTCAACGAATTTAATCAGGTTGTTGCTGAGATATCATCGCTCGAAATTTTTTTTTTTTTAAAAAAAGTCAATGTTTATCGAAAATATAAGCTGCGCAAAATTTTCCTAAAACTTTAGCAATAATATCTTAACAACCACATGATCAAATTCGATGAATTTTTTTTGTTTTGTTTGAATTCTATAGATCTATAGAATTTAAATAAAAAATTCATCGAATTTGATCACTCAAAGTTTTTTTAAAATATCAAACCGTCAAAAATAGAAGCTATCAAAATTTTTCTTAAAACTTTTAGCGAAGGTATCTCAGCAACTATCTGATCAAATTCGATGAAAATTTTTTATTGAATTCTATTGATCAATAGAAATCAAATAAAAAATTTTCATCGAATTTGATCAGATAGTTATTGAGAAATCGTCGCTCAAAGTTTTTTTTTTAAAAAAAAAACAAATTCGCCTATAATCAAGAGTGAAAAAATGTAGTAACTCCACAAGTTCTCGTTTATTTGAGCTAAACTTTTACAGAACAAAATTTTAATATATTCTCTGAATGCCTTGTTATTACACAGTAATTACTTTAGACCGAACATTTCAAAATCAGGGTGGTACCATGAATTTTCATCAAAATACTAAAGTATAAGTTTTTCCTAAAACATTAAGCGAAAATAGCTAAGCACCTATCTGATCAATTCGAAGAAAAATTTTTGAAAAAAAATTTCATCGAATTTAATCAGGTGTTTGCTGAAATAACTTCGCTCAAAGTTTTAGGAAAATTTGGTGCAGCTTCTATTTTTGATGGCTTAATGTTTTTAAAAACCTTTGAGCGAAGATATCTAAACAACCACCTTATCAAATTTGAAGAGTTTTTATTTATTTTAATTTTATAGATTTCATAAAATTCAAATAAAAATTTCATCGAATTTGATCAGATAGTAGCTAAGACACATACAATAACTTACAATCGATTGTATGTGATTATATACGATTGTAAGAGATTTCTCAGTAACTATCTGATCAAATTCGATGAAATTTTTTTATAAATCTATAGAATTCAAATAAAAAAAAATTCATCTAATTTGTTCAGGTGGTGCTGAGATATCATCGCTCAAAGTTTTTTTTTAAAAAAAATGTCAAAATGTTTATCAAAAATTAGAACTAAATTCGATGAAACTTTTATTATTAATTTTATGAATCTATAAAATTAAATAATAAAAAAAAAAAAACTCAGAATTATCAGGTGGTTGCTTAGACTTCTTTGCTAAAAGGTTTTTAAAAATATTAAAACATCAAAAATAATTAACCATAGCAAAATTGGACCGGCAGATTCTTGATTTTGATTGGATAAGAGCGACGATCAAAAAATTAGGCCGGAATTACAAATGAAATCATAGCCGCCAATTACTGCGCTTTTCAAATTACTGTGATCACCCGATGATCATCATCACACGGAAATCATTAAATTCTTATTTTTCTTAAAAAATGCTACTTAAAAATTAAGAATTTCAATGATTTCTTGCTGAATTTCGATTTTATCCCTTAGTTTGTATGCAAATTCGGGGCAAATTTGCCCCGAATTTTTTTAAAAAGTTATAATATATCTATTTTTATTAAAAATAATTTTTTTAAAAAAAATTTTTATATTTAATATATTCAAGTTATAATAAATAAAAATACTAGTTTTAATTTTTTAAATAATATATAAAATAAAAATTTTATATAATAGTAAAAAATTGTATTTTTAAAAATTTTTATAATTTTTTTTAAAAATGTTAAAAATGGTTTAAAAAATTAATAATTATTTTATTTATAGTCCAAGTAAATTGTAATAAAATAATAAATTTAGTTATAATAAATAATATTATTAATATTTTTATAATTAAATGATGAAGTTTTAACTTTATTATTAGTATAGAAAAATAAATATAAATTAAATATTATTTTATTTAAAATCTTAAAAAAGCATTCAAATAAATATTAATTAGATTAAACTTTATAAATTATTAAAAATATTATACTTTGTAATTATAATTAAAATATTATTTAAATTTGTTTATTTAATAAATTTATTTATTTAATAAATTTAACTATTTAATAAATTTATTCATTTAAAGTATGAAAATTATTAAAACAGTTAGGTCTTATTTTAGAACAACATAAAGGTATAAAGGTATATTATATTTAATATACCAATAGTTGCTTTAAGATATTGTAACAGTAGCTGATTTCTTTTTTTTGCTATTTTTTTCATTTTGTTTTTTCAAGTATCGACAATATATACATAACTCCCTTTCTTTTCTCTATTCTGCTAAATTATTTCCAGATAAAAAATAAGATAATAGTAATTCAAAATTTTTTGTAACATAAGCAACTCGCCTATTTTTTGACAATTCTGCTGAAGCCACATTATTTGATCTTTTTCTAGTTAGTTTAGTTTTGGTTTTATCTTTTAAACTATCTTGAATTAAATCCCATATGAGTGTAATTCTAAAATTTTTGCTAGATATATCCATATTAGAAAGATAAAAACAATTAACAAGTTTTGTATCTAAAATCCAAAAAAATAATGAAACTATATACAATGTGTAATTAATTGACAATTATAATAATTTCTAAGTTGGTCTGCAATATCAACTCCCCCATATAGTGGTTAAAATCATTAATTATTTTTGGAATTTCCAATTCTTTTCTTACTATATCACCAAAGCTTGACAAATTTTTTTGGCATTTGTACTTGTTATATATGGACGACACTGATTATGAATAATTTTTCACTCATTTTTAGTAATTCCATGAATAGTAGTGTAACTGAAATATTCAGTTATTGGTTGGGTTAGGTCTTTGTTAGAAGAGATTCAAGACAAAGAGGCTTTTATTTAGATAGTTTTTAGAACATGATAGTGGATAATTTCTCTACTAAAGAGCATTTACAGAACTTTTTATAATCTTTTTAATAATTCTAACTATTCTAAATATAATCTTTAAACTGTTTACTGGCCCTGTTATGCAAAACAATTTTATGCATAATGATTTATGTGTAACAATCATATACTAATGATTTATGCATAATGAATTTATGCATAACGAAAATAATAAATAGCAAATAAATAAAAGAAAAACTATACTAAGAAAAATGACTTAGTAGTAGCCGTGACGCGAAGGGTTTAACTGTGTCATGTGACCACATGACCACATAACGTTATACCTGAAAATATTACTAAGTTACAGTAGTAAGTAAATTAACTGGTCCATTATTGATCTATAAAATTGCTAATATATTATTAATTACTTCGCCAAGAATAGTATTCCAATCTAAAACCAAAAGATTTTCAATTTTTAATGTTTTAAAAAATTTAGATGAATTGGTATATACAGTACCACATGCACCTAAATTATTATTGCGCAAATAATCAAAAAGTGGAATACTTAAGAAAAAATTATTCATATATATTCAAAAATTTTTTCCATGTGGAAGTTGTTTTACTAAATGCCAAACCAAACAACCCATTTCATTAATACCACTAATATGCTCTACTTCTACGTTTTTTTCAACTCTTGAATAAAAGCAAAATGTCCATGTATAACCAGCATCACAGAGAGAAAAATTTTATATTCCTCTGGAGTTGGTTTATTTTTCATCTTAACAGTATGTATACTACGACCAGAAAAGCGAACTATCATTTTATTAACAGATAGTTGTGTATGAGGACAATATAATTTTTTAAATGTTTCACAAACATATGATGCTAATAGTTCTATTTTTGAAAACCAATAAGAATTAGGCTTACTTGGGTCATAAATATGTAAAAATCGCTTAATTTGTTGGAATCTATATAATGACATAAAATTTTTAAAATTATGAACTGCTATTTTTTCATTAGAATTCCACAAATCTTCAACTGTATAAATTTTATGAACACCCATATATATAACCAAAGCGATCCAAACTTTTAACTCTTTTAATGTTAATGGAACCCAAATACGCCCACCTTCATGAACTTTTATCTGTTCATACTTGTTAGTATTTTCAACAATTATTTGTAATTATTGATTAGTAAAACACAATTGAAATAACACAATTGAAATAACACAATTGAAATAACACAATTGGATCAACAGTACCAATTTGCATTTCATAAGGCAAAGTTGCACAGGAAAGATATGTAAAGGTTCAAATTCAGATAATTCATAAAGTGTAGATTTATCTACAGGCTTGCTATTAATTACTTTTTTTTTCCTTTTCGAATAGCTTTACTTGTTTCACCAATTTCATCACCTAATTCATCCGTTACAATTCTTTCACTACTTATTTTGTTTAACTACCTACTTGGCCTTTTTACTTTTTACATGAGCCACCCTATTGCTTTTCAGTTTTGTATTACTACTTTCTTTCTGATTTTCTTCACTTATTTCATAAAGATAGTCAATTTCAATTTCCTGGTTAGTGAACCTTTCGCCATGGTAATTGTGCTCAAAAATAGCCAAATATTTTGAGTCAGAAATATCATCGTTACCAGTAGTATATAACTTTTTTTTTTAAAAAAAAGAAAAAAATTGTCTTTGCGATGATTTTATTTAAATTATAAAAAAAAGAACATATTAAAGAATAGGTGTGGGAGGTTTACTGAAATTTTCCAACAACATTGGCGGCAAAGCGATTTTGTGAAAACATTTCTGTTATATACTCTACAAGGTGGTACAAAAAATTAGGGCTTTTACATAATAAAATTTGTCAGTATTGCAGAAAATTTGTTGAAAATTTAAAATTTGGGCAAATTTGCCCGAATACAGACTAAGGGATAACTAATCATCTATTAGTATACTAATTTTTTTTGCTCTTTCAAATTTATTTTGTAATTGAATTTCATAATACATCCATGAATATATTTGAATTTGGGTGTTTCCCAGGTAGGTTCAAAACAGCATATATATGCTTGTTTAACTAAATCTGTTCTATTTTTTCTTGTTGCCCTTGAAAAAGCTTGTATTTTTTTTATCTGACATAAGTTTACTAATTTGGAAAAGAATGACAGAAGTTCAATTAGTTTTGTATTTATAATTATTTTGGTATTTATATTCAATTTTAAATTCCCGATTTTAGATTTCCGATTTTTAGATTTATGTGTGGTGTGTGATAAATGAAAATCATCACAGTAATTTGAAAAGCGCAGTAAGTGAAAATTGTTCCTGGGCCAATTTTTTTAAGTATTTCTATTTTTTGTAATGAATAAATTTAAAATCGGGTTCAATTTTGTTGTTTTGATAATCGACCAATTTTTTTTAAACTTTAAGCGATGATATCTCAATAACTACCTACTTAAAATCGATGTACCGTAAAATATGGAAAATAAGCATAACACCCTCTACCCTGCTTTTTTCAATTTCAGATTAATGGGAATAACTTTATTAAAGATTTTATTGCTATTTTTGCTAATCTGAAATTGTAAAAAGTAGGGTGGAGGGTGCTGTGCTTATTCTACATATTTTACGGTAATGATTATTATTATTATTATTATTCTATGGATTCATAGAATTAAAATAAAAAAAATTTATATGCACTACTGAAATATTATTCAAAGTTCAAAAAAATTTTAGGCGATTATCAAAACAAAGACTGCGATGCTAACTCAATACCTACTTATCAAAAATCGATATTTATTTATAAAAAAATCTGTAGTAATTTTAGATAAGTAGTTATTGAGATATTTTCGTACGAAGTTTGAACGTTTCATCACGGCTAGGATACTTAGACAATTGTTACATGATGATCGCTAACATGCATAACTTAGCACAGATTTCGTAAATGCCCAACTTTGTTGCGGCCAAATTTTTCTAAAACTTTGAACAAAGATATTTCAGCAACCATCTGATAAAATTCGATCAAAATTTTTTTTATTTGAATTCTATAGAACTATAGAATTTTAATAAAAAAATTTCATTGAATTTGATCAGAGATATCTTTGCTTCGCCTAAAGTTTTTTAAAAAACTTATATTTTGATATTATGATGAAAATTCATGGTACATACTCTGATTTTGAAATGTTCAGTCTTAAGATATTACTGCGCAATAACAAGACTTTTAGAAAATGTATTAAAATTTTGTTCTTTAAATGTTTAGCTCAAATAAAAGAGAACTTGTGGAGGTGAAATTGTTTTTTTTTAAAAAAAAACTTTGAGCGAAGATTTTTCAGCAACACCTGATCAAATTCAATGGAACCTTTTATTCGAATTCCATGGATCAATAGAAATCAAATAAAAAAATTTACATAGAATTTGATCAGATAGTTGCTGAGATAACTTCGCTCAAAGTTTTAAGAAAAATTTTGTCAGCTTCTATTTTTGACGGTTTGATATTTTAAAAAATTTTGAGCGAAGATATATCATCAACCACTGATCAAATTCGATGAATTTTCTTTATTTAAATTCTATAGATCTATAGAATTCAAAAAAAAAATAAATAAATAAATAAATTTATCGAATTTGATCATGAGGTTGCTAAAATATCATTACTAAAGTTTTAGGAAATTTGGCACAGCTTCTATTTTTGATAACTTCGAGCGACGATATCTCAGCAATCACCTGATTAAATTCGTTAAATTTTTTTTTTATTTATTGCGGTTTGCAAAAAAATGTGAAATTTGCAGATCAAAAAAAAAAAAGAAATCGATGATTTCTGATTTCTGATTGCCGATTTTTTTAACATTACTTCTGATGACGTATGTATA